CACACACACACACACACACACACACACACACACACTCTGCACTTAGCTAATCTATGTTTTCTTTTTCACTAGGTTCAAAAAGCCCTGGGAAATGTAGCATTTGTATCTCCAGGCCAGGCCTTAGCCAACTGGATCATGTTTGCTGACTGAATGAATTAGTGATGACTCCGATGCATTAAACAGGAGCCCGCGCACGGGCAGACTCTGCACTTCATCAATCCCTTATTTCAGCATGAATAAAACACTTTCGAATAATATGGGTGTTTCATAATACATACATAGGGTAACATTACGAGGAACCTTATAAAAGTTACTTTAAAAATTTGTACATTTAACATATAATCCACCACACCCAGGGTGACGAACAACAGAAATATGGGTGAAGGGAGACAGTGGATAGTGTATGAAAATAATAATTTCCCAGTAAAATGATTTTTTTTAAAAAGAAAATAACAATTTATACTTTATCAAGGGTCCGTGAGGGAAGGAGGATGGGAGAGAGTGGGCAAAAAAAAAAAAAAAAGAGCTGATACACAGGGCTCAAGTAGAAAGAAATCTGTTTGAAAATGATGATGGCATAGGTACAAATGTGCTTGACATAATGGATGTATGGATTGTTATAAGAGCTGTAAGAGTCCCCATTAAATGGTCCTTAAAAAATGTATACATTTAGCACAGTAGATAAAATGGAATATAGAGTTATTGGAAGAAGGGCACATGAGTATCTGAAAAGATGCCCAACTTCATTCCTGCTATGAGAATTGCAAATTAAAACTATTTGAGATACTATTTTTCATCTGTTCGATTGAATAATGTAAAAAAAAAATCAGCCTTAAACCAAAAGTATTCTTTAAAGTCATTTTTAAATTGAACAATGGTTGAGTAAAAAGGTCTGTCTTGAGCATCATGTTCTTTTAAGAACTATATGGGAAAGGGAGTCAACAGTGTACGACATGAAATAACAATGTATAGTGGATCAAGGATTCATGAGGGTGGAGAGTGTGGGGAGGGAGGGGAAAAAAGAGGGGCTGATACCAAGGGCTCAAGTAGAAAGAAAATGTTTTGGAAATGTTGATGGCAACATATGTACAAATGTGCTTGACATAATGAATGTATGTATGTATGGATTCTGCTAAGAGCTGTAAGATAAATAAAATAATTAATTAAATGAAATAATTAGAATAAAAATAAATAAAATGAAGAGGCAAAAATTCAGCACATTAACCAATGAAGCAGTTTCATTGAGAATAAAATTATCATAGTTAACAATATATAACACTGCTACATATAACTGATTATAAAAATAGTATCTCTCAAATACTCTCAGATCTGTGAGGCTGAAGTCCTTAGTATTCCAATTTTAGAAATGAAGAGGCACCTCTCTCTGGAGGGCCACAGTTAGGCAGCTAATAAATCATAGAACAGGAATTTCCCGACACAACAATGTTGGGAACTGACAATAAGGTGAGAAAGACAGAAAAGAGTGACAAGGAATTTTAAAGAGAAGTCAAGAAAGTTTGAAAGAATAATTGTTCTTTTTAAAATGCAAAATTGTAAGCAGACAAGGAGACCTAAGCGCCCGTGCTAGCGTAAGCTCACATCGATCAACAGTGGCAGTGCTGTGCTTTTTGTCTGTGCTCCTTGTTGGCACCCGACAAAAGCCAAGTGTTCGCACTCAGTGCAAGGCGTCCACCTTCCCCAGCCACACAGACGGATGTGAAGAAAAGCCATCCAGATGCGAATCCAGCCGCAAAGCACAGACGCGCTCTTACCGGATCCACACACAGCGTACTGTCGGAAGGGAACTTTGGTCTTACCATTTTCCTTTTCGATGACAATGATGACTCGTGTATCTGAAGAGAAAGAGTTAAAGTGAGTTTTCAAAGTTCCTTTACAAACATTTTCATTTATTTAACCCCATCCCCATTCTACAGAGGCTGATTGGAAGGAGGAGGTAAGGGCTCAATGTCCCTCCTCCCCTGGCTACACTTTGATCCACAGTGGAGGAGGGGGGGGGGGTTGGCAACATCCCTGCCAATCAGAGCACAGGCAGAGCCAGAGACATGAGGGTGTTAGGTTGGTTACACGACTAAATTAACAGAAGGATGCTAGTATTGGGCATCACGAGGCCCTGGTGGGGTAGTGGTTACCTGTCAGGCTGCTAACTGCAAGGGCAGCAGTTTGAAAACACCAGCCAGCTCCACGGGGGGAAGATGGGCTTTCTACTTCCGTAAAGAACTGACTGTCTCAGAAACTCGCAGGGGGAATCCTACAGGGTGGCTATGAGTTGGCACTGATTTGATGGCAGTGAGTTATAAGCCATCACACCTTTTAACTTTGGACGTTACAGCAACAAATAAACAGGCACAACGTCCAATTTCATAGGTAAGTCACTCTCACCAACCATGAAGAAACAACAGAGGACTGAGTTTTTGTTGATGAAAAAGAAGTGTTGTGTGAGACTTACAGTTACATTCAGATGGAATTTTTAAAGTGACATTAAAAACTCTGTTATTAAACTTGCACAAAACCATGCAGAAGTATACAAGGTTTCGCCATTTGTATTTCGTATTGATCAGAATGTAAAGTTCTAAGCTTTGTGTAAAGTAGCCTGTTGGCACTGTGGGTTAGGCATTGGGCTGCTACCTGCAGGGTCAGCAGTTCAAACTCACCAGAAATATGAAGACGTCAGATTCTGGAGAGATTTGCCGTTTCTGAAACCCTGTACTACATAGGATTGCTATGAGTCAGGATTGTTTGGGGAATTTTACTTTGTACACAGAGATGTCATGGATTGAACTTCATTTCCCCCAAAATATGTGTCCACTTGGCTAGGCAGTTGTGTAATCATTCCTCATGATGTCATCAGATATGATAAGCTAATCAGTCATAAGGGGAATAGGGTAACACCTTTAATCAGGTGAGAGCCCAGACTGGATATAAATCGCATTTTACCTGGGAGTACAGTCTGAAGCACCTTTGATCTGATAAGAGATAAAAGGAGAGAGTCCAGAGGGCGGGCTCTACTACCACCTACAAAGATGAGCCAGGAGGGGTGTGTGTCCTTTGGATGTAGGGGTCCCTGTGCTGGGAACCTCCTAGAGCCAGGAGACACACAGAGTATACCTTCTCCCACAGCTGGCACTCTGAAATCGGGACTTCTAGTTTCCCAATTGTGCACTTGAATTATGGTGTTGGTGAAGAATATTGAAAATACCATGCACTGCCAAAAGAGCGAACAGATCTGTCTTGGAATTAGGACAGTCACAGTGTTCCTAAGAGGCCAGGACGGTGAGACTTCATCTCACGTACTCGTTAGAAGAGGCCAGTCCCTGGGAAAGGGTAGAGCTTGGTGGAAAGGAGCAGGCCAGCGATAAAGAGGAAGACCTTCAACAAGACATATTAACAACAGTGGCTGTATCGATGGGCTCAGACATAAGGAAGTGTGAGGCTGGCACAGCGATGGGTGGTTGTTTGGTTCTGTTGTACACAGGGTCACTATGAGTAGGAAGTGACTGATTGGGACCTAGCAACATAAACCAACACCACCACGCTAGGAGAGAACAAATTATTGCTGGTTAAAGGCATCCACCTGAGATGTTTCTGCGAGAGCACCGCTGGATAACTAACAAAACCCACTGCCATCTCATCGATCTAACCCACAGTGCCCGACGGGGTTTCGGAAACCAGATCTGCACAGTCACAGACAGTCTCATTCTTCTCCTGGTGAGGCTGGTGGGTGCGAACTGCTGACCTGGTGGTTAACAGTCCAACATTGACCCGACAATGTCCCCAGGCTCTGAGCACTGAACCTCTAAAGTCTTGGGAAAAGAGGCAAAGGGAAAGAAAATACATGGGCAGTTGACTTAAGAGGAACATTAAGGTGGATATTGAAGTTTTGGGTGGCGTCAGAAATTCCATTATATCCAACTCCTTATTTAAAAGCAAAAAAAAAAAAAAAGCAAAACATCAACTTATTTCAGGGTGTACTGAAGCTAGATGAACACACTCCAACATGTTTGCTATATTTCAAATAATTTTAAATACAGCTTTTGGATAACCTTATCTCCCAGCTATTGCTGTTATATTATTATAATGTATCTTCCTCCCCATTTGAACAAAAATGGCAATGAGAATTACTGCTGTCACTATTACGATGACGGAATGCACAACCCTCTGAAACAAGGCTGGAACAACAAGGTTCTTGGCACATTTTCATAGAGCACACCCGTCAGTTCTCAAGTCTGCCAACACCCCATCTGGTCTGCCATATTGTGACTGGGTTCTATTGAACTCACTGAAGAATGTGAGACTTATTAGATCAGATTTAAATGAGTACTTTCCGCCTGGTGGCGTAGTGGTTACACGTTGAGTTGCTAACCGCAAGGTCAGCAGTCTGAAACCACCGGCTGATCTTTCTCCTGAGGAAGAGGCAGCTTTCTACTCCTATTAAAAAAGCTACTCTTGGAAACCCCCGGGGGCAGTTCTACCCTGTCCTATAGGGTCGCTATGGGCCAGAATTGACTCCGTTAGTGAGTTTGGTGTTGTTTTTCTCCCTATAACTGAAAAGTTATGTTTGAAATTCTATGAAGTCTAAGCCTACTAAAGAATCGAGACTTCTCAAACACACCTTAACAAGGAGACGCTTAGTTAACCGGGTCAGTTATTCCTCCCTGCTGCAGAAATGCAGTACTTAGTGTGATTTCACTAGCGGGGTCAACGCCAGCCGAAGCATGTCTGGGATGCTGAACAAGCAGCTTTGAACTTCAGGTTTAACCACAACAAAGACTTCTACAGAAGGCTCCCAATTAGAGGAGCTGTATTCCTTTTCAGCCGGCGAGCAAGTCACAGAAGGAGGGTCACCAGGTCCCCTTACCTCCTGCTGCTCCCTGTACTCCCTCTGCCTGCGCGCGGCCTCATGCCGCCACAGCTTCAGGCAGACCAGGGCGCTGATGAGGTACACCAGCATGGTGACGAACAGGAAGATCATGGCTGCGATCTGGCCGCCCTCCACCCGGCAAAAGGCTGCGTTCATCGGCGTGTTGAACAGCGGGTAGTAGCAGAGGCCCCCTCGGTTGGTGTCATTCACGTAGACGATGGCTGCGGCCATGTACAAGACAAACAAGGCCACGTTCACGCCGAACTCCGTGAGGGGCCACCAGTGCGAGTCCAGCAGAATGGTCCGGTAGTACATGGACATGCCGAGAACCAGGATGATAATCGTGGCGACCCACGCCAAGCCCGCCATCACCAGCACGAAGGGGGTCTTGGGGCCGTTGTAGTAGTAGCCCCCGTACATGCTGCCCAGGTTGCCCACGCCGCCGAGCCCGAAGGGCGGCGAGTAGCCAAAGAGGTTGTACCACTCGCTGTCCTTGTGGATGTAGGCCGTGACGCAGGCGAAGACGCCCGTGCCCAGCAGCAGCTGCACGACGCCCAGGAGGCGCAGCAGGCCGGCCCAGGACTTCATGTAGGCGTAGCGCAGGTGGTACCGCTCCACCTCCTCGCTGTACGCGCGGCCCGGGGTGCCCGGGGGGCCCTCGCTCAGCGGCGAGGGCGAGGGCGAGGCCGGCGGGGAGCACTCCACGCCATCGGAGATGTACCTGATATCGGACACCGGCTTCTCCCACGCGGGGGGCTCCCTTGTCCGCCCTTTGAAGAAGTTCTTCCAGGAGTCGGGGACAAAGCGCCGGACGGGTTTGAGATCCGGGGCCACGGCTGGCTCCCCAGTGTCACTTGAGTCGAAGTCTGGGCCGAAGGCCGGCTGTAAGGGGAGAGGGGGCGGCGGCAGGGGATCGGCGCTCACGGCCAGCCTGCTGTTCGCAAGTGTCTGCAGTGCCCTCGGGCCCCCATCAGGGGAGGGCACCTCCTCGGCACAGGGAACCTCATCGTAGTAGCACAGGTCCCGGCTCTTGGATCTTCTGCCATCTGACGGCATTTGTGATGGTCACACCTGTGGCAGAGATCAATGTTAGACTCGTGACTGTGTCTGTTCAGTGAGGCCCCATCAGCTGTTTTCATTCATTTCCTAGCAAATTACTGTACTCAGGAGACCAGCGTGATCATTTTGAGTTACCCCGGCCTACAAAAATAATGGAACCATGCATATGCATATTTTAAAACACCTGTAACTACTGTGTTGCCGAGGGAGATAATCCTCACGCTGTGCCATTTGGGGGGGGCAGTCAGATTTCAATCTGCATTTCCTAAATTGAAACATTAAAAGAAGCTCTGTAACCAGTGGGACCTATGAACCACAAACTGTAAAACATGAAAATCAAGTGGGAGGGATAAAAGAGGAGCTGATACCAAGGGCTCAAGTAGAAAAAAAGTGTTTTGAAAAGGATGATGACAACCTATGTACAAATGGGCTTGATACAATTGATGTATGGATTGTCCTAGGAGCTGTAAGAGCCAATAAATGATTTTTTTAAAAAACATAAACAAACAAGAAAACCCCACCAAACCAGCACAGCATTTTAACACGCCAGGGCACTAACATGCGGAGGCCAGTCCTCTCCTTAAATGCCTGAAGCAAAATATTTGCGTTTGAGCATACTCCAACATGCTGAGCCAGCACATGCCTCCACTTTCACTCCCTCAGCTCTGCGCTGGAAGGCCCAAAGGGCCAGAGACTCCTCTCTTTAACTCAGGGACTGAATGTTTGAAACAGAGCCCCCACCACTCTGGAATATTAAGACTTGATACTGGATTTTAAGAACTAAATTCCTAAAGGATAAAGATCATTAATGGAGAAGGTTCCCTGCAGGCACAACACGGCAGCAATGGTCAGGGATAGCATTCCTCACAGAGCAAGACCCACAAATGATTTGCTGCCTGAGATGGAGGGGCACAGAATGGCTGTTGAGTGCTCAATCCATCTCAAGAAACAAAAGCCAAAACAATCCCACACTCATAGAAAAAGCACATTTTATTCAACTTGTTTATTCCTTCACGAAATCAAGGATCTGGGCACATATGTAAATATGTACAAAGGAAGAAACCTTTGTCACTGTAACTCTGAGATTACATTAACACTAAATTGCTCCCTCAGATTACTTACAGGTGAGCATTTTCTGAAGCCTCACAAGGCACAGAACATTTTACTTGACAATGAAGATACAAAAAGTAAGATGGGAGATCCCACCTTTATGGAGGCTCAACATTTGCAAATTCCCAAGGTTTCTACTCTGTCAAAACTTATCATTCAACAAATATTGACATGCACCTACCTTGAAGTCCTGGTGCTATAATGAGGTTATGTGCTGGGCTGCTAACAAGCCCAGCAGTTCAAACCCAACAGCCCCTCCAGGGGAGAAAGGTGAGGCGTTGTGTGCCAATAAAGATGTACCACCTCAGAAATGCACAGGGGCCTTCCACTGTCTGTTCGGAGTAGGAATCCATTCGATGGCAGTGCATTTGGGTTCTCGGTTTGACCATGCATCTGGAGGGGACCTAGTGGCACAGGGCTAAACAACTAGCCCTTAACTGAAAGGTAAGCAGGGGGAAGCCTCCAGGGCCTCTGAGGGAGAAAGATGTGGCAGTTCACGTCCATAAAGATTAGTGTTAGTAACCTTAAGGGTCTGAATATAGCTGCTACTCGAGTAGGAACTGACTTAATGGCAATGAATTTGGTTTGGTGTCATGCATCCCTGGGTAGTACAAATGGTTACACATTGGGCTGATGACCACAAGGCCAATAGTTCAAAACCACCAGCTGCTCAGCAGGAGACAAGGGGCTTTCTACTCCTGTGAAGAGTTACAATCTTGTAAACACAGAGCAGCAGTTCTACCCTGTCCTAGGGGGATGCTATGATTTGGTATCAACTTGATGATGATGATGAGTATGATTTTGAGTTTCACACACTGAAAGGTGGACAGTTTGAACCTGTCCAGTAGTGCAGCAGAGGAAAGGCCTGGTGATCTGCTTCTGTAAAGATGACTCTTAGGAGTTCTACTCTGTAACACATGGACTCACTATGAAGTGACTCGAGGCAGTTAAAAATAATTATTTTACATATACCAGGTACCAAGCAAGCTGAAAATATATCAATGAACAAGCTCACTGAACTTCACTGAGCAAGAGGAAAAGGTCACTGTCATTAGGTTGATGCCAACTCATAGCAGCCCCACAGGGCAGGGCAGAACTGCCTCTGTGGGTTTCCGAGACTCTAACTCTTTTTAGCATTAGAAAGCCCAGTCTTTCTCCCTCAGAGTGGCTGGTGGTTTTGAACTGCTGACCTTGTAGTTAGTAAGCCAAAGCACCCTAAAATCCCTGCCTTCATGGAGCTTAAATTCTAGTGTGGAGAGACTAATTATAGAGTAAGGTGAGAACAAAGAAAGGTGCTCCCACTTTGAGTAGAGTAGCCAGGGAGTCTTCATGGGGGAAAAGTGACATCACAGACCCTGAAGGAGGTAGAGAGGAAGCCAGGTAGATATCAGTGGGGAGAGGGTTCTGGCAGATGGAAGAGCTAGTGCAAACCCCGAATGCGAAAGCCAGGGATGTCAGAGAAACCTGTGGACATGAGGGCAGGGTGGAAACAGCAGTGTGAGTTAGGTGGTGAATCGGCAGAGCGGAGGCCAGAAGCATCACCTGTGCGGCAACAACCTCTGGCACAGACTTGGGCTTTTTCTGAGTGAGATGAGAAGCCCTTGGAGGGTGCTGAGGGGAGGAGTGAGACAATAGCTTTAACAGAATCATTCTGCACACTGGGTTGAGAGCACGGCCCAAGTTACAAGGGCTACAACAGAGGAACTGGCCAGGCCACCAAAATAATTCAATGGATGATGGTGGTAGCAGTGGAGATAAGACAGCAAGGGAAAATTCTAAAGATGCTACTGGTACTTACTGTTGAGACAACACCAACTAGATCTGACCCATAAGGTTTCCTAGGTGGTAATCCTTATGGGATCCTGGAGCCCTGGCATGATTACAGTACATTACATGCTCAACTATTAACCAAAAGGTCAGAAGTTCAAACCCACCAGCTGCCCCACAGGGGGCCATGTGGCAGCCTATTTCCATGTAAGAGTTACAAGCTTCAAAATTCTACAGGCAAAGTTGTTATGACTTGGAATCAACTTGAAGGCAACGGGCTTGGTTTGGTTTGGGTTAAATCTTCACGAAAGCAGATCTCTAAGTCTCCCGAAAATTACAAATACAGGAAACGAAAAAAATGTTTTTATTATAGAACATTTCAAACACGAAAAGTGAAGAATCCACTAATATGTTATCTATATGAATTTTCATCGGCAAACATTTCATTTCTCTACCCCTCCAGCTTAGCCCTGAGGGGGAGGGGGCCGGAGGCAGCAGAGTCCAGATGGTGCTGTCAAAGAGGTAGTTTATAATCCCACTGCTTTAAGCGCTGACTCATGTAACCCCAGGGGATCAGAGTAAAGAACTGTGCTCCCATGGTTTTCAATGGCTGATTTCTTGTAAGTAGATCACCAGGCCTTTCTTCTGTGGTGCCTCTAGGTAGGATCACCCCTTTAGGCTAGCAGCTGAGTGTGCACCCTCTTATACCACCCAGGGAGTCCAAGTCTGTACACTGAAGGGTAAATAATGACAAAAAAGTGGGTGCAAATCGAGAAGAGGTCCAAGGAGGAATGCTGGGCTCCTTGAATGGGGCACTCCAATATTAAATTGACTGACTGTGAACCCCAGTGTGATTCCAACAGTGGAGCCCTGCAAATGACAGCATTAACTTTTTCTCTTTTTAGAGGATGCTACCTAAAAAAGTTAAAATTCTAGAAAACTGGAAATAACAGTAGTACTAGTTTTTGAAATTAAAAAAAAAAAAGTACACATGAAAGCATAACAAATAACTTTGGAAAGCTTTACATAAAATCAAAATCCAATTCATCACCCTACAATGTTGTCTCATAGCAAGACAGTAGAACAGCGAACTACCTACAGTCAGGTGTCCAAGGCTGTACATCTGCAGGGAAGGCAGCTGCCCTATCTATCACCCGGGGAACAGACGGTGGATTCAAATCACCACCTTCGTGGTTAGCGGAGGCTTGACGCTGTGACACCACGGCGCCTTTCAGTTTCACAGACCATTCCTCGAGACCTACGGTATTAGATGAATGCATTTTACAGGGTACCCCATTGCTTACTTTAACTTCTTGATCAAAGTGATTGACTGCACTGGACTCAACTCCTCTTCCCTTGTGAAAATCGGCTTATTATACAAAGGTAAATCAGTAATAATCGCTACAAAATCGTGGAAAGCTTTATTAAACAAAAATATCAAAACGTGTGGGGGAGGGAGCAGTGAGCCAACAAACTCAGGGACAGAGGAACATCAAAGGATCTAAAATCAACTGCAAGGAGGGTGTAGAATGCCTGGTGGTGTTTGATAACTTGTAATGCAGGCAGCCGAGAGGAATTACTGAGAGCCTAATGAAGGGTGAACATGATGGTGGGGCAGGAGGAGAGTAAAAGGAAATAGAGGAAAGAACTAAGAGGAGGTAAAAGCTATATATGGAGGTATAAACATAGACATGTATATATGTAAGTATATAAATATAGGGGTATTGGGCTATATATATATATTTATAGGGTAAAGCAATAAAGTAGCAGATGGACTTTGGGCCTCTACTTAAAGTCTTCCCTCAACACAAGACTATTTTATTTGAACAACCTGGCACTGTGTGATACTCACTTCCGGACATGATCGCTGAAGACAAAATGGGTGTATAAGCAAAAGTGGTGAAGGCAACTGATGGTACCTGGCTATTAAAAGACATAATGTCTGGGGTCTTAAAGGTGTGAAGTTAAACAAGTGGCCATCTAGCAGGGAAGCAACAAAGTCCACATGGAAGAAGCACAAGAGCCTGTGTGATCATGAGGTGTCGACAGGATCAGGTATCAGACCAAAAACAAAAATCATATCATTGTCAAGGAGATGGGTCAGAGGGGAGACGCAAAGCCCAACTGTTGATAATCAGAAACTCCCTCACGGAAGGGATATCCGGAAGAGATGATTCATCCAGGATGCAGGATAGCACCGACAAACACACAACATTCCATAGTTCTTTAATGCTTCCTCCCCCCACTATCACAGCCCCAGTTTGACTTCACAAATCCTGCTAGACTGGCATATGTACACTGGTACAAATAAGAGTTTTCGATACAGAATGCAGGATCGATAAACCCCTCGAAAACAGTAATGGGAGTAATGATTCCATGTGGGTACAGGGAGGGAGGGGGGAGAACTGATAGCAATGATGGATGTATAACCCCCCCCTTGAGGGGCATAAATAACAGAACTGTAGATAAAGGGATCCCTCAGATGGTGTGAGTATGAAAAATTAAAAAAATATATATAATTTATTAAGGGTTCACGAAGGTGGTAGGGTGTGAGAGGGAGGATATAAAGAGGAGCTGATACCAAGGGGCTCAAGTAGAAAGGAAAGGTTTTGAAAATAATTAGGCAGCATCCGTGTAAGTTCACTTGATGTTATTAATTTATGTATTGTTATATCTGTAAGAGCCCCCAATAAAAAGATCAATTAAAAATATATATCAGAATGTGAAGCTATTGTTTTTTAGCTTCATCTTCCATCTAGGTCTACAGATTTCTGAAGGCTGTTTCCATCTCGCTAACCTTCCCCAAACAAGGCTGCACTCTTCAATGTACACCATGCCAGAAGGGCAGTTTGACATCCTCAAGGACTCACACCATACTCCTTTTCCATGTTAAGTTCTGGGTACAAATAAAGAGTCTGAAGGGACAAGAGCAGATCTGAAGGATGGATGGGGATATTTCCCCAACAACATTCTCAGAGGACAGCCACTGAGACCCTCGAATTATGAGGAGGTGCACTGTTTTAATGGAGAAAAAAAAAAGAGTTCCTCAGTGCTCTTTTCCTGGCCTTTATCTCACCAATAGTTTTCAGTTTTCTTGAAATTTCTTCATAGAACACCCATGCTCATCCTGTGTCCTCTGAGTCAGTACCAGGATTACCCCTTTGAGTCCCCCCAAAGTTATCATAATCTTCCGAAGCTAACCTCTGTCCCGAGTCAAACTGAGGCAGCAGACCTCCAGGAACCTCGTTTCAATTGGACATTTATTTTAAGGTATCCTAATGAGACCATAACAAATGTATTACTGTGATAATCTGTCCACACTCACCCACTGACTGCTCCCACGTTTAAACACTTTTTGTTTGGAATAAGCCCGTGTGTGTGACCTGGAACCCAACAGCAAAGCTTTCTGACCCACCTTCTTCTCATAGGAGAGGGCTTCAAAAAGCTCCTGGAAATCTGGAATAGAAAGATAATGGAGTTCTTGTGTGAAGTATTTGGAATCGCCTTGTCTTATATCTATGATCCAATTAAGTGGACCACAGAGGTTTGCTTTCGGAGTAACCAATGGTTACATAAAAGGCAAAAAGATAGTTTGAAGAATTGCAGAACAGTGAAATGATGTGATTTTAAGAGAACGGCCAGTTTAGTTTTATTATATTCTAAAATACATACATATATATATAACATTTTAAGGTGTTCTGGTGGCATTGTTAAAGTTAAGTTATATTGCTGACTGCAATGTCAGAGGCTCGAACCTACCAGCCAATCCAAGAGAGAAAGATGAGGCTGTCTGTTCCCATATATTTATAGCCTCAGAAACCCTAATACAGGGTCGCTATGAGTCTGCCACTTGATGGCAGAGAGTTTGGGGTGTTATGCTATTTTTTTCTTAGGATGTCACGAGTTCAAGCCACGGAGGCAGAGTGCAAGGCACCTGACTCCATTTTGGGATGCCTATCTCAGCAAGCCATAGAGGGGGCAGGGGAAATGCCGCCCCACTCCCCGCAAGCACAGCATCACATGCATCTTCCCTGACCACCTTCAACAGAATCGCTGCTTGGCCCTGTAAAGTTTTGCCGAGACCGAGTAAAGGAGATTTTACACACTAACGGGCTTCCTGGAGAAAGGGAGTCACTGTGATTTTCAACTTAAAACAGCAACGACCACGGGTACACAGCATCTTTGCCCAGGTTTCTGCCGACTCAGCCCTGGGCGTCCACCTCAATAATCTTTCCACACTGTGCTCCGTCCAAACCGACAGTATTATTCTGTCTCGCGTTTCTCGCGGACAATCCACTTAGTCTTTGGAGAATCAACCCCAAAGCAGCGGGAACTAAGCGGGGCGCGGGCTCCGGAGAACCA